CTCATACAGAAAGCTATGATTAAATCTCATGATATGATTTATTGAATTTTGAGAAGAAAAAAGCTAATGCAAGATAGTAGAATAAGAAATACTGAATGGATGATGATTTACAGACAATAAGAAACTACATCTGCTTCTGCCTCAGGTGTCAGACTTGGTCATCTCTCAGATATGCACTTTTCAGTGCCTTTAAAGGGAAACTTAAAAGCCATTTCCAGTTTTTTCAGTATGGTGGCTTTGCATTTAAAGAAGCTTATGACTCACACTATGTTTACTTCATCAGGGAGCCTGACATTTAGAAGGATGTATTTAGTAAGAGTGGTTGTATAGAGGAAGAAAATTAGTTTCTCTTAACTACACTTATATGCTAAGCACCAGCAATATGTTTAGATCCACATTAGAGATGAGGCCTAATTTTCTTCTCAGTCATGCCTCTGTTAATTAGCAGTAATTCTAGTGCAGCAGCAAAGTGACTTGGTAAAGTGACAGGGAGTATGAGCTTTTCCTTCATATGTTGTTGCTGTTGTTTGCAACAGATGAATTTTCATACATTTATTTACATTAAACAGAACCCAAATGCATTAGACATACCAATGAAATGCTTTATTTAGCACTGGAAAATTGTAGCTTTTTTGTTAATTTTTCGTTTATTATAAAGCTAAAGTAAACATCTGTGGAGACACTAACTAGAAAACACAATTTCAGTATTTTTTTTTCTTTGTGGCTTGGCAATAAGCATTGTTAGCCTTGACTTTTTCAGTTGCACATTAGGCTGACATTTTCCTAGAACAAAGGGGACATTTTCTTCTCCTTTTTAAAGATTTAACTTGTACTTTTCTCAGGAATTATTCTCCTTTGCTTATTATGACAAGCAGTGAGGGCTGCAAGACCAATTCGTTTCAGAAGCTTAAAAATCCCTGTTTATGCAATAGAGACACATCTTTTCAGCAGAGTAGGGCTATGAGTGCCAAAGTGGGAATGGACAAAACCTGCTTTTCTGGGAGTATCATGTTTTCCTGTTTGCCACGTCTTGCAAGAGAAAGCAAACATTTTCACCCTGATTTAGCTGTGTGATTTATTACACTTTCAGCTCTTGTAGCAATTTTCTAGCAGCTCTTCTTAGTGATTCTGAGACATTCTTTAGTGGTTCAGGGGAAGGAAATCTCCAGAATGACTTCTGCTGCCTGGAGTAAGACCGAAGTGTTGACCAGCAGGGCTGTATTTCTGGGATCTCTAAATGCAAGTGCAGGTTTTGGGGCTGCAGTTATACCCAAGGCTGAGCCACCTCATGACAGAGCCACATGTAAACTGTTATACGTGTTTGTCTTTATTTTTGGTGAAATTTTTTTGTGAAATCTTCTACTTTCTGAAGAAAATGTGGATTTTTTTTTTCTCCTCAATGGAAAAGAAACCATATACTTTAACCAGCTTGGGTTCAATTTACCTACAGATCAAAGTATATCTTTCTACCATGCTAAGGAGAAACACAGGCGCTGTTGGAAAGTTGATGCAAAATAATAGCCATGTCAAAAGAAACAGCAGCACAGCGGAAACCATTTGCAGCACTATTTGCTTTCATTTCTTGCAGCCACAGCTTCTAGAAACCCAAATTGAGAGGATTTCTTGGTGGTATCTACTCACACAACCTTTGTAAACCTGCCTGCCTCTTTCAAGCTCAAGTATCTTCAGGTCTCAGACCTCAGAAAATATCTTCAGGAGAGCTGCAGAGTCTTGCCCAAATTGTTAGCTCCTAATGGATTTATTGTCTCAAAAGAAAGGAGAATCCTCAAACTTATTCACAAGAACTGTTTTAGTGACCTAGTTAAACAAAAATAAACAATGCTTTGACATGCTGCTCCTTTGCTGGAACCTTTAATGACCATATCACTTTATCACCCTATGTTTTACCTCAGTTTTGTACAAAGAGTTATTAAATGATCTAAGAACCAGTCTCTGCAGTCTTTATAGATTTCCATGAGTCATTTTAATTCTGGGTTTCCCAGTGATGTTTCTTTTCATTATGGGTTCATAATTTCTGCAGGCTCTGTTGTGTAAGTTTGCAGTTTCTTAATATGCATAAAGATAGTGGGGTCCTTCTCATTTGGATAAATCTAAAAAAATCAAAGGATGTTTCACACCATCCCTACTGTACTGAGATGGCAGCTCTAGGAGTGGCTTGAAGCTAGGCACAGTCTGCACTGCAGCCCCAAATCTTGGCTTTGTAAGCCTGAACCTGGTTGCCTTTTAGGTTCTGTCTGGAATAACAGGTAGTCAAGAATAAAACCATTGTCACCTGAGGTATAACAGAAACTGAAAAGAAATAATCAAAGTCTGGAAAACATCATGGAGTGGAGTTGGGATACAGCTGGGAGAGGTACATGGGAGAGTAGGTGAACTAGTTTGATGGTAAAAATTTAACACTGGAATTAAGGAGGAAGGAGAATGGAGTTTTGAACTAGCTGGAAACTGCCTTGATACATGAAGATATATTTTAAAAATTGAGAGCAGACTGAAGTTTGTGTGCTTGTAACAGCTTGTGAATCTGCCTGCACGCCTGCTTTCCTACACAGTGTAGATGAAGCCATGGTGTCTGCACGAGAGGTTATTCCAGGATAGCTATTCAGAGATTCAGAAATACCTCCATGCATTTATTCTGTGCAGATCCAGCTTTGGAAATATGTCTTGCTTTAAGCATATTTTTCAGGATTTTTTTTTCAGTGGAATGTGTTCTGCCTCCTTGCTCAGTGCTGGCAGTGTTGCTTGTTTATTTGCTCTGCCATATCATGGTTCCAGCAGAAGGAAAAAGCTCCACAAAAGTTAACAGCAACAAATAGCTCAGTAATGAAATGGTAAGTATGAGAATCATTCCCTTTTGGGCTGTCAAGCACAGAACCTGGACCACAGAGCTAAGCATTTGCTATTTTTTATAGCTATTTTGCAGTGTAGATCACACAATCACGTTTGCCTGGTTAAATTAATGCTTTAATTAGAAAAGCATGCCCCATTGCTATTTTGGGTTAAATTGCAAGAAACCTGCAGTAAAGATTTAAGTCTGATTCCTCCTTTCTGTTGTTAGCAGCTAAATAAATGTGGTGTAGCCTGACAATATTGAGAAGTTACTGAGAGAAATGGAGGTGGTGGTAAAAATGAGTCTATAGAGTACAGAGAAAATAATCCAGGCTGAACAAGATTTATTGGCTAGTGGTGGGAGGACAGGTGGTGTACACTGCATTTGGTGGTTTTGGGGTTTTTTAAGGGGGACATGTGGTGGACACTGTCTTTGGTGGTTTGGGGTTTTCTTTAAGGGGAACGTAGCATCAGATCAGTCTGCAAATACACAAAATGCAAATTGAAAAATGCATTTTACTAAATAAAATATAACTATTGACAGGGACTGCAAAACAAGGGAAAAGTACAAAGCCATAACTCTTCCTAAATAGCTTTTACTTTTCAAGATTTAGGGATATTTTATCTTGTCCTTGAATTTCAGGGTGATAATTCATTCCCTTCCCCAAATCTCTTTCCTTTAGGTTTGCATAATAACTATAGTCCTTTCCTTCTGTACCACCTCAACATACCAGTTACTTTATAGACAGAAATAGCTGTTACAGTTCTGACCAGGCTGCCTTATAAATAGTCACTGCATCTTCAGTGTTAGGCTTTAAACTCTTTTTTTCTGGGTGAAGAGAAAAAAGCCCTTATATGGCAATGTAGGTACAGAGTTTGTGGTAATTGGGGTGGGGCTGTGGCTGAGCCTCATCCCCAGTGGGTGAGAAGCAGGTGAGCAGCACTGACAGCAACGAGCCAGGGAGTGCCCAGGGGCACTGAGCAACCACAAAGGGAACAGAGGGCACACAGGTGCCATGCACCAACATGAGGGGTATAAAAGGTATAAAGAACAGGAAGGAGAGATGCTTGAAGCCTTCTAATCTTGTATGGTGATACTCTGTGTATTGTGGCCATCTCACCTGTGACATAGAACCAATGTATTGCTAGTGTTGCAATCTGAGTATTCTATAAAACCTTTCAAATTTCTTCTTGAGGAGGCTGTTTTTGGCTAATTCAAGGAGTGGAAAAGTCCATTACCCTAATCACCAGCTGAAAGCAAGGCTCCCTAGAGCAATCTGGCTTTGAAGAGGAACTGCAACTCTGCAGAAGCAGTGGCAGGTTTGGATGAGGGTCTCCAGCTGCCACCCATCTTTACCTACAAGGATGCTTGTTCCATCCCTTGTTAAGAAGCCATCCTTCTCCCCTCATTTCTATTTTGAGCTGGTTTCTGTCTTTCACTGTACTGCATTAAAAAAACCCAACCCTCTGCAATTATTGGCATTTATAAACCTCCAAACCCATCAGTTAAAGTGGCAGCTCTGAGGAGCTGGTGACCTCTGGTAGGAAGGTGGGGTGAGAAGAGTGGGAGGGGCTGGGGTTGGCAATTCCCGTGCCTGGGTGGGTGCTTTTGATTTTGGTTTGAGTGAACCTGATGGGTTTGACTGAATCAGGTTAGGGAGCTGTCAGCTGAGCTGTTTGCAGTGAGTGATTGGAAAGTGTGCCACTGTTTCCCAGGGAGGTGCTGTGAGAAGCAATTGTTGAGCTGGGGGATGTAACCTTTTCACCCAGCTGAGCTCCAGCCAGGGCAGGGGTAACCAGATCCTTCAGAGGAAATAAAACTTCATAGAAATCTCTCATAGATAGCTGGGGAGGAGAGAGGGTGAGAAAACACAGTTTTGGTATTAAATGCTAAAATTTCAGCACAGTGAAATCTGAAAATGAGTGGGGATTTAACAGCACAAAGATTTTTCTACCAAAATGTCTCTGGGAATGATTTAATTTTTTTTTTTCCAGCCTCTCTAAACAAGCCCTGGCGAGGCTTCCAGCCAGAATCCTCTTCTCTCTGCACTCAATTCACTCAGCTCCTGGGTGCTCCTGCCCCACTCAGAGCTGCTTGTCAGGCCCCAGTGCTGGAGCTCCTCAGCATCATTTCCCCTTGTCAGGGACGTTCTGTTCCCTCCCTGGGAAGAGGCCATAGCACAGCAAGGGTTAAACTGCAGACTCTGTTATCCACTCAGCTGGACTGGGAGCAATGCACACCATCAAAATGTAAGTCAGAAAGGAATCTGAAGAGCAAGGAGTGTGTTCATATAGTTTCTTCTTTTAAGAAGTTCACCCATTTTTCTAGGGCTGATTTATTGCTTTTCAACCCATTGAACCATGCTAAAACCTAAATTCAGCATGAATTTATGAGGATGGGAACATACTTGCTTCAATTTTCAAGATTTTAAACATCAGTACCTCAGTATTTTGTAATATAAAATACCTATATGATATGGTATTATATCATTGTATAATGTAACTATATAACTGAGTTAAAAAATAGTCTATTTTTAAATTTAATGCTTTAAAATTATTTTTAAATTTTTTGTAGGAAAATTAATTCTGTACATATGTAAACTGAGATAATTGCTTGAAATTATTAAATTAGCTTTAAGAGGTGTGCTTTTATTTATGCTTTTATCATAATTACATTAAGGTGTCAATGTGAGCTACTTTGAATTAAAAATTCTAGATCATTGTTTAAGTAATTCTAACTAATTTTTTAGACAAAGCCATAAGAGGTTATCTATGTTGCCTCAACATGCAGCAAGAGATGAAAAGTAAATTTCAAATGCATTTACTAGATTAAAAAACAAGTTGATTTCCTATTTTGATTGCAGACATTCTTCATGTTACCTGGAAAAGACACATGATAAAAATTGTACTAAATGGAGGATCCTATCCCGTTAATGTTTCAATGCAAAATATTTCATGGTACTCTTGAACTCTGATACTCGTATTGACAATGTAAAACACGCATTTAAATACATTTCCAATAAACACAGATTAATTAGAATCATAATTTGATTCATCTGTGCTTTACCAGTAATAAAGCTGGGAAACTTTCTCTGCTTCTTGCCCAACCTTTGCTGTAGTGGGGGTCTCCTGTTTTCTTTATGACAAAGCTAAGAGGTTGTGACTGCCAGGATAATTTACAACTGAGCCATATTTTTCAGATCCTGATAAAGGCTGGGTTTGATGGGTATATGGGCTCTGTCTGGCACTGCAAGCAGCACGTGTTGGCTTTGCCAGCCTGGCCAATTATCTGCATTTAGGGCACACCTGCCCTGCTGCTGCCATCGGAGCCAGGGCCTGTCTGGGGCTGCCACCAGCAGGAAATCTGGGCAGCCCCAGCCTCACTGCTCACTCAGTGCAGGGCCCTTTGTTTGCTGAGCTGAGCTGGGGATCAGTTAGTGCTTCTGCTCTGAGAAATTGTTAAAAGCATTTCACTCACACACATAAAATCACACGTGTGCTTTAGAGAACTGTACTGCCAGTTTTGGGTTTAGCAGCTGATGAGTTTGGGGGCAAGAAATAAAGAGTCCCTGTTCCCAGCCTCTGGGATTCACTGCTAGCATGGTCTTTTTTCTAATAGTGCATTCTGGTGCAATAACTACTCTTGTGGTAATTATTTTTAATTGTAAGGTATCTAAAGAGCAAGGTATTTTAAGACCACAAAATAATATTACCTAAAGCAAAGCAAGCTGAACTTCAGATATGTTATCTTGCTTTTATTTTCGCTTGAACCCAATTCTGCAGTGTTATCTCAGTGGTCCAATACCTGGGTTTTTTTTCAAGTGGTGCCTTTCTGATATTGTGACTAGTAATCTGTGGAAAATGTGGAACTGATAAAAGAAAAAGAAATTGTTTACAGGTAAGCCTGCTTCATCCTTGCTCTTTTACCAGAACAATCAAAATTGCTTTGTGAGCTTGAGCAAGAATACTTTTCAATTCCTGAAAAGTAGATATAAAACGAAGTAGGATTCACTGCAATAAGCTCACATTGCTACAAGAGAAATGGGATATGTACTATACTGTCATACACCTCTTTGTCAGCAGTAATTTAATTAATCCCACAGAGCTGAGGAGTCTGATGAAGACCTTTGGATTTGGCATGCTGCTAATAAGAAAGGCACAACACATGTCTGTATTCCATGGTTTGGTTCCAAATTTCCTGTCCTAGTCTGTTGCCTGGATAGCTTCCCAAATCTTCCTTTTCCAGCCAAATTTAGGAAAGAATAATTAACAAGCAATGTTTCACATAATCTAAATTTTCAAATGTTCAGATGTTTCCAATCCATCTGCTAGTCCAGGTTCTTTTACAGAAGAAGTGTGAACAGTTTAAGGAAAATTGTCCTTAGCTTGTACCATCTGGAGGTAACTGAGGCTGAGCCACATGGATAGGTCATGGATTTTTTGCTCGCCTACTGTCTTTTCAAAGACAGCCCAGCTAAAAAAGCCCTGAAATTGTTTGGATTAGGTGAGCTCCCTGTGCACAGGAGATGAATAGCAATTAAATGACCCTTAAAAGATTTGGGTTGCAATTAAGACCACACTTGACTGTGATGATGTGGTTGTGTCTTAAAAACTAACCAGCAAAGCTTAGCTAAAGTAGCTGAGCCCTCAGGTGCTTTGGTGGTGGTGGTGTGGTTCCTGGGTCTGGTAGACATTGGTGTTGCAGCTGGGCATTGGAAAAGTTGTCATTTCCTGTCAAGTGGGGTCCCACCCATGCTCATCCACCACTGCCTGCTGGGTCCTTGCCTTTCTAAAGACATCTTGGACCAAAATTCTAATTTGTTACTGTCTTCTTGGGGTAGTGGAAGTCACAATCCATTGCTTAGGACTTCTATCTTTAGGCTTGCACAGGGCTGAAAGAAACACTGCCCCTAATAATGCACTGATGCTCATGAGCCATTGGAAGTGGTGTTTGTCCAGCTCTGTTTCTTACCCCATGACTTCCACCACAAACATCCTCTGTTCACTGGGCAAAACATCCTTTGTTCACTGGGCAAACAATTCCTAGGCTTCCAAAGTCCTTCTTGTGTTGCAGAACTTCTGAGACAGAGAGGGCATGATTCATGTCTGGAGTGAGATTGAGCTACCCCTCAGACCAGGCCCTGGTAAGAGGCCTTGGTGGGGCCTAGGAGCCTTTGATGCAGTAAGAAATTAGTTGTGTCAAAGTTAGAAATTATGTTAAGGCAACTACAAAGTAATGAGCTTTCTGAGTGTGAATTAGGGTAGAGCTGCAGTGTGAAAAGCCTGACCACCTTAAGCCAAAGGTAAACAATGTTAGCTTGCCAATCAGAGTGCCTTTGTAAACTGTAAAATGTATAGAAGTGTATATAAACTGCCATCTTCTCTCAAATAAACAGAGAATGTAGCATTAACCATATTGGTTCAATGTGTGTTTGTCCTGACCAGCAACCCCTCATATTATAAGAAGTCCCTGCTTTTTTCTTGTTTTAATTTTATCTGCTGCTTTGTCCTTCTGCACCACTCTGGGGACTGATGTGAGTTGGCACAGCAAAGGCTGCCTTATTTTTGATTTTCTGTTGCAGAACTGTCAGTGAGGAGAGCCCTTACAGGAGAACCCTGTGCCTTAGCAGGGATCTGCATTGGGAGCCTGCTGCGAGCTGGAGTGGCTGGCCCAGGGCAGGACCTGGCAAAGGAACATTGCCAGCCTACTTTTAGACTGACACATTTTGTTTTGCCCAAGAGGGCAAAAGAGGATGATAATTTCTAAAGGCTTTTTTTTGTTGTTGTTGTTGTTTGTTTGTTTCCTTTGGCTGATTTATTCTCGAAATTTGATCCATTCAAAAGAGAAAAATTAGACACAAAGAATTCCTTTGAAGCTAACCAATGGTATTCTAGTTCTAACAAAAAATGACTGCTTGGTGGACTGTTGAAAGCAAATAATTTATTCATTGAATGTAGTGCTTTCATATTTCCTAGTTGCCAGTAAACAGATGATGACAATAAAATCCAGAAATGTGAATGCTGCTCATATGTAAATCAGTAGAAGAGTATTTGTGTGGATAAACAACTCAGAGATTAATCTGGCCATTAAGTTTATGGTGCAGGTCTGTATGTATGTTTTATAGCCTCAGTTATTGTGATTTGTACTACTGAGATAGGTACCTCACATTATTTTTATGAGGAGATAAGTGTTAGTTTTAGGAGCAGGACCAATCAAATGTGGATGCTAGAAAAAATTGATCTGAAAAAACAGCAATTGCTAAAAAACATTCACGTGCCAAAATTGCTTTTTGAACTATGTCTAAAATAATGTGCCTCATTTAAGTTTAAAGTGATTTGGAGTATTAAATTCTTAACTTCTATCAAAATTACTTCAGCACCTGGTATAAATGCAGTGTTTAACACTGCTGTTAACCATCAGAGAAGTGTGTTCTTACTGGTGGCATGGTTGATGTGGTTTCTATTACTGAGACTTTTTAAAGAACTGTTGGGATAAAAGCTGTGGGGAATGATTTAAATATGGATGATCTTGCTTGGGGGTCTCTGTTTTCTGGGAGTCCCTCTGCAGACAATAGAATTGTCTCCAGTGGCTCAAGTGATGGACAGCCTGGAAGTGATGGGCCAAGCAAACTATGTTGAAATTAGTAGCAGCAAGATCAGCCTGCAGGGTCCAGTTTGGCATAGGATCTGCAGGATGACTGCAGATTACTCAGCCAGAACAAAAGCTGGGCCCTACTCTAGGGAGTTCAGTCTTATTCTCATGTCTTTGAAAAGCCCTTGATGAACAATTAAAACCTTAAAAGAAAAAAAAAATAAAGTCATCTTGACCAATAAAATAGGAATAGGATACATTTTGCATGTAAAGTAATAACTGATTGCACATTATTCTTTGAAGGTAAATTGCTATCAAATAAATAACTACTGCTCTTTTAACAACTATTTTTCTTATGCTGCTGTTATGTACATTTAATACCAATCTATTGTGCTATGAAATATGCATATGGAACTAAATAAGTTGACCAGAATTTCTCAAAAGAGCAATTTTCTACAGAGTACTTCAAAAATTCATCCTGAAATCATGTTGCTGCTCCTGGCTTGGAAGAAGGGACATACTTTGTATTTTATAGAAGATTAATGTGTAGTTGGAAGAAAGTGCTTATATTGGGATCATTCTTCACAAGCAAAAGGCTGAGTTTGTTTCACAGTGATTGCCTTTGTTTGATAAATAGTTTGTGGTTGAAATGGAATACGTAAATATTTAGGGACATAAATAACTCAGTCATGGTAATGACTTGTAGACAGTGATATATCAATGCCATTATGGAAATTTGTGTTCAGCACCATAAACAAAAGCTAAACTATATAAAATGGGAGGACGTTTCTATATAAGGATTCCAGGAAGAAAATTTCTTTTCTGTGTATGCTGCAATTAGCCCAGATTTTCTAAAGTGGGGTACAATGAACAAAACTTGTTCTGCAAATCTGTGTAGTCACTCAGTGCAGACATGGCCTGAGGCTGCTTTGAGTATTGCTGCAAGAGTACAGAATAAGGATAAGTCTTTAATATATAAACAATATTAGACTGGTAGAACTGCCCAAGGTAAATATGGCAATAGGTGGTAACAGCTTAGTGCAAAGAGGTCCCTTGATCATCTTGTGCTTCGAGCTGACCTGGGCTGGCTTTGTGCAGGTGAAGCAAAACTGGGCAGAACTACAGAGGTGCACTCAGGTATCTGCCAAAGAATGGTGCTGCTTTCAGGCTGGGGAGGTGGGAAGGAGCTGGAGCTCCTTTGTGAGGAATGTGCTGCCAGCCAGAGATGACACTGGTTGGTGACCCTGCCTTTTCACATGTTTACTTCTGGCCCTTGATTTTGTTAGAAATTTTAACACGGCTGTGTTTACTTGTTTATGTTGTGGGTGGAAATGTATGTAATGTCTTTAAACATGTGTTACCATCTGGAAGCAGGGATAAGAGCCAAAAAACACAGCCAGCTCTCTTAAAAACTCCACCCAGGGCTTTTCAAATTGCATCAGGACTTCCTGATTTATAGGATATGCAATTGCTGAATATTGTGAAGCACATGGAGCCTGAGAAATTATGAACTTTAGAGGAAATTTTATAGCTTCTCCAGAGACTCTGAAAATAAAATGGCCCCTCTACCCTGTTCAGATATGGCATGCACTGTGTTCAGACAAGTATTGCTGACTGAGTGTGACTTCCAAACATTATTGTTATGCTTGTGATGTACTTTCATATTTCCAAGAGCCACTGAAGGCTCTTTTTCTTGCCAGCAAAGCTTCTCCACTTCTCAATCAAAAATTAACAGGGAACCTTACTGACATAAATGTCCTCCTGAAGAAAGAATTCTCCCCTATCTGTGTGAAAATAGTCTTGTCAGAGTATATGAAGCACCTTAAGAAAAAAATCAAAACTCTTCTATTAAAAAGTAAAGCTACAAGACATTAGGAAGAAAGAAACATTTATTTTAGCTTCTTCTAAAATTTATGTCTGCATTGTTCACCAGGTAGTGTATACATTGTTTGGAGCATCCAAAAGCCAAAAAAAAAGATAAAGACTATTTAATATATTATATTATATCTAATATTATTATATTAGATATTATAGAATATTAATATTACATTATTATCTATTTTAGAATAGTACATTGCTCAAATAACACTGCCTGAAATGAGTCACTGTGGTGGCTTTTGACATACCAGAGCTCAAGCAAATTATATAGAAGACTAGATCTTTTCAGGTTCATAGGTCTATTTTTGTGTGAAGCAGAAGAATATATCTTGGCTTTCCTGTAAAAGTAATTTTTAACTTCAGATGATTGCTAATTTACTAATTTGTCATCTTACCTTTTCTCTCCAGTGAAAGCAGTGTGTGTTCACCTTCCAAATATAACCAACCAGGTGCTGGAGGAGGATCTGGAGGATATATGTACACAACATTCTTCAGGAACTTCTGGTCTTTTTCTTCGTGTGCCTTTAATTTTGTTCTTCTCTGAAGTAATGAGCAGCTTGGAGTTCAAACAGCCAATTTCATTTGCTCTCCCTGCCTACACTGTTTGCACAAAATTCTTTTCTTTTTTTCCCACACTTGTGATAACCTTAACCCTGCATGGGCATAGGGAGCTGTGAAAAAGCTGCTTCAATGAAAAAATAATTAAAAGCCTAGCTAAGTAATTCTGACTAATGTTTATTTATTGCACTTTTCCTCCCTGCAAGGGAGCTGAATGATGGTGTCAGCCAAAGAAAGCACATCATGGGGATGGGGACTGGGATGTGACAGGTCTTGTGGCAATACATGTTACACAACAATTGACCATCCTTCTCTTCCCTGTCAAATGGCAACCTCTGTTTTTCCTCTAGGATTCAAAGCCTGTGCAGCAGCACAGCCTGAGTTATGTGAACATGAGTGTGAAGCCATGGCAGAGATGGGAGGGTGAAGTCACAGCACTCCTACCATGAATGGGGTTTTGCACCACAGGCTTTGGAGACAACTGATTCTCAGCCAGCTACAAAATCAAATATAAACCCCTAAACGGCCCTGAGGCTATCTCAGCTGGTTTGAGCATGAAGGTCATGATGCCAAGGTCACGGGTTTAATCCCTGTGCAGGCCAATTATTTAAGAGTTGGACTTGATGATCTTTGTAGGTCCCATTCAACTCAGAATATTCTGTTTCTGTGAATTTTCAATGTCTGCACCTGAATCAGCTTGACAGCATTTAAATACAACTTTACTTATATTACTAAATATTATTTTTTCATTGACCATATTTATATTTAATATGTATATAAATATTTTCAATGTGGCAATCCTTACAAGACCTCACAGAAAAGGGCAATTTATTTTTATTTTGCAGTTGGACAGTCAAAACCAAGAGGCTGCTTGTCCCAGGTGACAGAGGATGCTTGTGTGGTCTTCCATGTCCATCAAAGGATTAAGCTTGTTGAACCATCTGGATGCAAGGCAGCTCAGATTAGAAATACTGAATTATCCAGGAGGATTTAGCCTTTCAGCAAGGAGGAGTCTTTTCAGCACAGCACCAGACTGGTATCTTCATGTGAGTTCAAGCATGAGTTGTGTTTGTGTGCAGGACCCCTTTGTTACCACAGTTAAACTTTTCTGTGCCAAGACTCTGAAAATATGTTAATCCCATTTTAAGGAATTAACCTTAATCACCTAGAGAATATGTGCCTGCATCTTCATTATGCTTTGTGTGTGTCTGCTGTGGTCTGAAATGTAGGCAGTGCAGAGCTGGGACAGTTTTATTCTGTGCACTGCAGACATGAGGAATCCCAGCCTCACCAGGGGACTCCCAGAGCTCCTGGACCTCTTAGCACAACACACAGCTGAGAGATGAAGCCAGAAATCTACATTTTGATTATTTTAACATTATTTTTTACCTTTCGATTATTTTTCAGGAGTGAGAGGTGACCCATTCTGAGCAAGAAAAGCCATTATTTATTTTCTAGGGTAACTCCCTTTTGGTTTCAAAGGAGAGTGAGACTTAACATTGAATGTACAGCAAGGCTGCAGGAACCAAAGCAGGAGCTACAACAGATGAAAAATAGTGAAGAGAAAACAAAGTGAAGCCTACCAGACCTCAGCTAAAATATTTAAGTGTAAGCTTCAGCATGCTACCAAGAGATGAAATGCAGCAGATCACTGCACAGAAGAACTCAACTAAATGACACAGTGCAGCAGTCAAAAACACATGGGGTGAGAGCTGGCAGAAGTAAAAGTAATTTTCTTCTGTGCCTGCTGCCCATGATGGAGATTATTGCTGCATGCAACCACACATGGGCAGCCAAGCAGCAAGGGCCACATCTCCTGTGTAATGAACTACAGAGTGCAAGGGACTTGGAGCAATTTTGAAAACTTCCTTGTTCAGCAGCGGTGGCTGCTAAGGGAACATTCTCCTCCAGGATGAAGAAGAGACCTTCACTCATTGTCCAGGGAAGTGGCAAAGAGCCCAGCAGGGAGCTGATATCACCATGCCTGTTTTTGGTGCAGTCCCAAGAATCTCCAAGCTTTTCTTATCCAAAAAACCTCCATGTCTTTTCACAGGAAGGTCCAATAAAAACGTTCTACATGGCAGCTCCCCTACTTTTACTCTTTGTCCTCTTGAGTACAGGGATTTATTTCTGAGGATAATGACAAGTGATGGAGAGATTTCAACACATGCAAAGGCAGCAGCTAGTGCTGATTTAGGTGGTGAAGGTACTGACAGCTGGGCAACCACAGTAGCATGGCTGCCAGGATGGGCTCTTCTAAACCTAAAGCAGGAGGTGATTTTGAAGAATCCTATTATATTCACTTTTCCTTTTAACTGGCATCTATCTACCCTTGGTATATCTAGAAGTGATATATTGCTACACAGCCTTTCTATGTTTCCCTTTCCTGCTTTGCATTTTTCAGACCTAAAAGAAGCAGCCATTTTCTAAAAGTGATCTGATCACCAGAAGCAGAGGCAAGAGTTATGCAGGGAAAGTAGGATGAATTTTTTCTCCATAGGCTAATCACAGGTTTTAAAGAGTCCTTGTTCCCAAGAATAACAACCTCTGTATAAAAATGTGTTTTCATTCATGCTTTTCCTTTTGTAAAAATGTCATGAAATTTAATTACATCCCATTTGCTCTAATCATTTATATGGTGAAAACAACCATTGTGTCTCACCTATCAAGACAAGGGGCTTGATATTGCTTTCTTTAGCCAACAGAGAGTTTGGCTTTTTTCCCCCATTGCTCTTGCTGCAGAGATCTGATCATATTCCTGATGGATTTAAACCAGCAGGTGTGTGGTTTGGTTGTTCAATTCACACTGGTATTTATAGTTTCTGTTAGATTAATAATGCATCTTTGAAGAAGCCCATCTGTTAAGCAGCACAGCCACAACTTTGAAGACTTTAATTTCTCTTGAATTGCAGTATTCTCAGCTGCACAATGAAAGTCATCTTTTGATCAGTCCACATCATTATAATTTCTCTGCCAAGCTTATTGTACTTACAAATGTTCTAATTCATATGCTTGTGGTGCTTAGGACCTGCATTGCAGAGTAACTAGTGGGGGAGCATCACAGATTCACATTCAATTTAAAAAGAGGTGCAAGAAAATGGGTGAAAGCCCCCTCTTGCTCTTAGCCTGTTGCCTCATCCAGCTGGCAGGAGGGGCACCTGATAGATTTTTACTGGGTCTGAGGAAGATGTGACATGAAATGTTTCAAGAGGATGTACATACATGTCAACAAGAAAAATTACAGAATTGCTGAAGCTGGAAGGGTGAGGATGCACTGCTGGCTCATGGTTATCTTGGTGTTCAGCAGCCCCTCTACTCAGAGACTTTCTGTAGAGCTTTTCCATCTGCTGGCCTCCAGCCTGCTCTGGTACACAGGGCTATTTCTCCCCAGGTAGAGGATTTTTTATTTCTCTTTATTAAATGTCATGAGATTTCTCCTGGCACATTTCTTCAGCACCTTGAGCTCCCTTTGAACAGCAGCACAGACCAAATCACTGGGATCCATCTTCCTTCCAGGCCTGTATCCCACAGGACTCTGATGAGCAGATCCCTGAATGGGTCAAAATAAGGGCCAGTCTTTCTTCTAGGTGTGCAGTCTTTGCTGCATGAGAAGTTTAGATTCAGCACTAGTTAGAAGTTCCCAAAATGCAACATAGCAGCTCCTGGCAATATCAATCACAACAGAGGTCTCAAGAAAGGAATTTTGTTACTATTGTCATTGGATCTTCTACAGTCCTGACTGGTTTGTGCTGTCTCTTTTCAAGCAAGTGCCAAATAATTCAGTGTGTGAAGAACTTCTGACTCATGAGGTGAAGTCTGACTTCAGGCCAGGAGAAGAAACTGGGGAAAGTCTTACGTGAGAGTCTCTGCTTCCTTTCCTGGAGGAAAATTTGGGTTATTTGCACTATGTTGTAAAAGTGGAATCATAAAATAGGAAAATGGGCTTAGTTAGCATTCACATTGCTTTGACTATGCAGAGGTAAAGAGCAGGAAAAAATTCACTTGAGCCCTTAGAGGAAATCCATACATTTCCACAGGACATTTGTTTTTATATTTTCCTAAATATATTAAAAGAAGAATAAGCCCCAAGTAAAGGAGATGGAAACATTTTGATGTAGTCTCCATTAGCTCTCTTAGTTGATAAGCAAGGTTTTTATAGTTGTCTTGCTGAAAAAAAATCACTTATTTTAACTTTTTTGTTGTGTTTTGTTTGTTTTATTGATAGAAAAATACAAGAAATCAATTCTTTCTAAGCTTCTTACTTTTCTTCAAAAGTTGAGGATAACTGAAAAAGATATTTAGGTATTTATGAAAATATCACAGTGATTTATTTTGTTTTACTTGGAAATATTAAAAAGCTCATGTGATACAGATCTAACTCACTTTGTGAGTGCTCAATTTTACTGTGATGAGCACTATGAAAATACAGGACTCATAAGGACAAAAGAAAATATGGATTTTCACAGATAAAAATTGTCATGTTTCTAGTACAACTGAAGAGGACATGCAAGATGTGTGTTAGCTGCTGAGTGTGATCAGCTTGCTGAAGAAAGCTGGCAAGCAAAGCACAGGAATGACAGCACCAGAGCTGGAAAAGAGATTTCTTCTCTGCTGTGCTCCTTGCCAATGCAGAAGTGCTGGATTTTACTTTCAGATCATTTACTGAATTTTACAGTCTAATTTTTACTGAATATTCTTTTGCTTCTATTAGGAGAATGACTAATGCCCAGGTCGCCATGACTTTTTTTCCTGAAAAGTAATCTATATGTTTCTTTTCTTCTGTTACTTATGGTTGTATCACTGATGATTCATCTCCTTTGTTTAAATAGTTTAAGTCAACCCAGCTTTGCAGAGCCATTTATTTAGGGAGTTCTGCTTTATCAAATGAGTTAAGCATGGCTCTGCAGGTGATCCTTTTCACTGGTGTGAATTAGCGAAATCCCTCAAATCCTCAGATTTCATCTCTGCCAAGTTAAATGCTAACATTTTTCTTTCTTATTATTTCCAAATTCCTTTTCAAACAGCTCATTTGAAAAATAATTTGAAATATAGGATTTTTCTATGTGCACATGAAAGATGGAATCTGTCCTGACAATACCCACACAAAAAGTTACAAAAGTTAAACAAGTTTCTGTAATTGTATATTTTATAAAGTTTCATCCAAGATACTTCAGAAACACGAAGTAACTTTGCATTCCTTTTGTTGTATTTTTTATTCCTTATAACCCCTGTCTAAATGATACTTCTGCAAGTCTTTCCTCAATAATCATGTACATCAATACATATCTTTTTTTTCTTTCTAACCCCATTCAAATACTGTATTTTCTTTCCTTTATGTTCTCATTCACCTTTGAAATATAAACTGACTTCCACAGACATTTGGATGCACATGCACTGCTGACTATCTACCAGCCCAGCGCCTTTTCTTATTTTGACACTACAAATCTTATTGTTATGTTGTGATATTCTCTTTTCCTTATTTTCTATTCTGTCTGTTGCAGTCATTTCCCCTTATCTACCAAGTATGAGATATTTCTATTTGCCTTATCTTTTATTAACTTGAATTACCTGTTATACTCTGTATCCTGGTGGGAGGGCAGGGATTGGATATTTGATCACTGAGATTCCCTGACTTTTGCTCTAAGAAAAGAGAAACAGAGACACCAATACAGAACCCAGTAACAAGAGCCTAAAAGCAACTCTTTGGAGATATGGGCCAAATTCTTCTAAGGAATATCTGGCTAGGAGTTCAACCTGCCAGGGACTTAGTTACCATACACAGGCTGAAAAATGAAGGCTTGGGGAGTCTCTGTGCCTCACTGCAGAGCATTTGGCCCTGGGGTAGCAGTGACTTTGTGAAGAGTGCTTGAGAGCCTGGGGCACTCAGAGCACTGCCCACTGCACTTATGGGCTGTAGGAGCTCTGGGGCTCAGGGGCCAAATGCTGCAGGAAGGGGAGGTCAGCAGGGGCTGGGACACCCTGCAGTCTTACCTTTGTCCTGTCATTTATTGTCCTCAGAGACAAAATGGTTCTTCTAGAAGTATTTTAAATATCTTTATGATATCATTCATGTGGTTCTGTTGATCAGTTTAGGCAACAAAAAAAGAAAATTGTCAAACAAGCTGTCTTTAAGTGTCACAACAGAAAGCCAACAGTGTGCTTTAGCACATTGTGCTTGTGCTACAATCTCACCTCAAAGACAGACTTGAAGGGCAGCGTCACAGCTTTCTCAAGATCATGGGAAATGCAAGTTAAAAAGAGATGGGGTCATTTTCAGAGAGGATCTGCTTCTCTGAGCTATTTTAGTCATAGTCTCTTTTCCAGGGAATTGTGTTCTTTGTGAAACAGGCTGCCCTCAGCAATATGTGGTGTGTATGTGTTGGGGCTGGTGCTTGGATCCACACAGCCAGAGAGAACTGCCCTGGTTTTTGGTGTGGGTCATCAGCTGGTGAGAGACCAGCTTGGATCTCTGCTCTGAATTTCCACAGGTGTTAAAGAGAACAGGGGCATCAATGC